GAGAAAACATTAATGCAAAAAGGCAATTCGAAAGAAAAACAATAAAGAAACGATCTTCTTGGCTTTACAAGTTGACGAGACGTGCCAAGCAAGAAAAAGTCCTGGGGGAGTGTACTCATACTCGTGCAAGCCATAGTCGTTAGATCATTGACCTCGCATCCCTACAAGGCCGGGACGGAGCACGCCGGGTTCTCCCCGGACCAGGCTCAAACATCTTCGAGCGCGAAGCGCCGTGAGGTACTCGGCGAGTCGCATGAAGGGTGCGCTGCATCCTGCTAAGGGTGTTCGGAATATTTTGCTCCCCTCCTTAAAACGGATGACAGCTGCGTATGACTAAATTTTTTTTCTGGTGTTTTCATTTCCAGAGACAGTTATAGGCACTCCGTAACTGGCTCGAGGGTGCTTGACCAAAATAACACAACGTGGCGCAATTGTCCCCTTCGCGCGGAGTGATGGTTTTCGAACCGCAAACAAAAGAAAGAGGAAAAAAACAAGCGGTACCCTGGTTGCCGAGCTCATGGACTGATCTGCTTCTTGCACAACGTCGTTGCCAAGCGACGAAACCCCAACCCCGATGGCAAACACCGAGGGGGGGCAAAGTCGTGGGAGCCGGGTAATCGCCTCAGCTCGACATCGACAAAGTTAGGAAGAAATAGGGGAGGGGGGCCTCGCGAGCACAGAAACAAAAGAGGAACGGGTGTCAGGGGCGTCATTTGACCTAAAAACAAAGGTTCCACACCCGCTTAAGAAGAATATTCTAGAGAGATATGCCAGACGAAAACGACGCTCAAAGGCTACCTGTTCCCTCTCGAAAGTGAGAGCCGGGGCACGGAAGCTCATCACTTCGCCCTTCCGGACGTTGAGGCGGACGTTCTTGGTGTACAGGGTGTCAACGGCGACGAACAGGACATTGCCGCCTCCCTCTGCGATCTCGATCACCTGATCCACGGTTGGTGGTGGTGATAGAGGTTAACGGTGCGTGCTCCTCCGCCGTATGCGTAACCTACAAGTATTTTTCTTAGTATGCATAGTCTAGTGCTTATCGACTGTGTGCTGTGTTCGCGCATTCATCTTTACTGGGTCGAAAAACATGTTGGCCGTTTGGCTGACTATCGTTATTGTCATGGGATTGGCTACCTCGTGGTCCTACACTTTCGGCAACAGTAGCATATATCCGGGGGGGGATACACAATCGGGCGAGATGCGACACTCGACTGCATGTCCAAGTTCCGCAGTTTTCAAGCACCAAACCCTCAATCCCTTGCAGTAAAGCACACGAACACAATAAAGGCCGCCTGTCGCTTGTACCATCAATATGTACCTTCGGGCCGACGGCCCGATTCAGGGACAAGAGGCTACAGCTAAAGTGCTTGATACTGCCACAACCGAACAGGCCTCATGCAGTGACATGGACGGCCTGCTACGACACAACATTGCCCGGCATGCCCGAACCAGACACACACGCGCACCTTGGGCTGGGGGCACACGATGTCTGCCGTATCGGACACGACCCCTTCGAAAGGGGTCCGCTCGTTCAGGACGTCTTCCCAAGAGTTCAGGTACGTGGCGAAGTCCAAGCCGCTTGCTTCCAACTCCCGCTCCAGCTGCTCCTGAGCGAGACCTGCAGAGTGTCCCTGAGAGCCACCGGCCGCCTCGCTGTTGCTGTTGCGGTTGTCGTTCTTGTCGGAAATGGACTCTTTGACTACAAACATCGCGGAGTCAGTGGAGTACATGGTCGCACCATTGAAAACCTCTACGGTGCCGCCGGGGTCATCGCGGACAATCCGGTGCGGGTCCTCCTGTGTGTTGAGAAAGGTTTGTGTATCGCAACGACGAGCGGGAATCGTTTGACGCAAACAGGGGAAGAGCCAGGGGGCATAAATCAGGAAGGTGTTCCAGGTGCAATGCTGCCGCAACCGTGTTCTCAAGCGGCAACACATTTTTGGTCGAATCAAGCAGGAACACGAGCATGCGATGGTCGGACCCAAAACGGGTTACAACTACCAGCTCCGGAAGCTAAAAACTTCCTGTGCGATTGTGGGACCAAAGACTTGAAATTTGACGCAGCATTTGTTTCGTGTTGTACGCATACACGATAGACGTAACGTCGAGTTCGAGTGCACGTTTTTGCGCAAGATTCGATTGAGACAGGGTATCATGGGAGCCAACATCGGGGACTAACATCAATGCTTCAATTGGCGGCGGGAGGGTAGAGCAAGCTTTGGGCATTGGTGGAGTTCACCCTACAACCGCAGCGAGGGGGGGCGGCGGCATGAAAAATAAATCAGCACAAGTGTAGGGTAATACGCGACAAGAGGGGAATGATACCGAGTTCGTTACAACTTCGGACAATAATAAGAGTGGGGAATCGAGCAAATCTTTCGTCAGGATGCTTAATGGGTACAGCAGTAGAGCGAACGTAACATCATCTTGCGGGGAATCACAAAAAATATAGAAGAGTGAGTCTATTGCGGTTTCGCATAGTCTCCAATATTTTCTCGACTCCGATGCCTAGAACCACGCGGGCGGACATCCCGTAGGCCAGATGACGACAGGTACCAAGAACAACAACAAGAGCAACGCGAACGGGACACTAAATCATCAGTACCACCGCCACCACCACCGCAACCACCAAACATCGCTCAACCAATAAATTATCAAACCAAGAACAGCCGACAAGAGACAGACAGCCTACCGGAGTGGCGTCGTCAGGGGATTCGTAGTCGAGGTCTTCGGCATGGAACTCCAGAATCCCATCCACGTGGAAGATGCCGTCCTTGTTGTCCTGTGGTGCAGCAGTAATGCACGAACACCAACACCCAATACAATGACAAGAGTAATGAGAATCAAAATTAATGAGCCAAACGGAGTGAGGGGGGCGAGGAGAAAGTGATAAAGTTGGTTGGGTGTTGCGTTGCTGTTTGGACGTGTCCTGAAGGGTGCAGCAGTGAGTAGCTGCAACGTCAGGCCAAACAACTCAGTGCGTGCGGTAGACTACATAATCTGCATGACGCGTTTTCGCTGGCTGCGAAATGTTTCGAGCCATTCGGTGGAGCAAAATAAAAAGTCCATTGTCGCGCCCCCCCCTGTACTGCTGTGATAATTGGGCGTCCCATGCTATTAAGGCGGGCTTGGCCTCGAGATTGTAAATAAAACTCAAACCATGTGGTTCATGGACAATTGGCTACAGGCTGTATACGTATGTCATACATAGACTACCTCATTGCTTTCGAACACAAAAGCAGCCGCTCCGAAGTCGACCCTAGTTCCCGTGGGAATTTCGAAGATGCATGACTCCCTTGGTCTGCATGATGGTCTCTGCAACAATGTAGGCGTCGCCGTAGCCCGGGGGCACCTCGATTATCTGTTGTTGGCAGCAGCACAATCATTGTTTGCATTCACCCGTGCAAGTGTCGAATGAGATTGGCTGTCAGGGTTCTGAGTGAAACAGAGACGGATGGAAGAGAGAGAAAGGGAGTGGTGGTGGCGGCTGCACTGCTTGTTGTCCAAGTGCATGATGGCGGCGGCGGGGCCATCCCGACCCCCGCGGCGAAAATTTGCCAGTACTGACACAGAAAAAACACGCTCCAGTAGCTCGGTATAGCGACCCACTGCACAACAACCTAGCTTGGGGTGTTGGGTTTGGGTTAGGGCTAGGGTTTTTTAGGTTTAGGATTTAGGGGTGCGTTAGGCCTAGTGAGACCTAGCGCCTTGGTGCTGCTTGAGGGCTGGAAACCCGCTGTGGCTTTGGTTTCGTGTCTACCTCCAACCACAACCCAAAAATTGTGAACTGGCGAGTGCAAGAATCTCGCCAGCGCTGGCGTATATACGGCAGCCGCATCCTGACCACCGAGCCCGGTGGATCAACGATCACCTCCTCCCTAGGTATCTTCATTCCAGTTCGCGACCCCACAGAAAGTTACCGTTGGTCCGAATCCAACTCCGTCCGTGCAGGTGCCATTCGTTGCGTCGCGCAAAGGCGAGGGCGAGCAAAGAACGGAGTGCCTGGAACCGCCCTTTCGTGGAGTGGCTTTGTTGTGCGGTGCCGTGCGCGGCGCAAGTGAGCTGAGCCTGCAGTCAAGAACCGAGTTAATGATCCAACCCAACAACATGATGATGTGTACACCAACAATCTACAGCAACACCACCGCATGCAATCCGTACACGGGTGGCCAAAGGGAGATTGAAAGTGGTGTCCAACCTCCCCGGGGTCAGGTTGGGACGTTGGGATCGACCTTGGACAACATAATATATTCTACGCTGCCCGTCCGCCCTATTGATGGGACCAACGTCGCAATCCGTGATGCGGGGCTAGCTATATTTTGATTTTTTTTCTCCCATCATTGGACTCTGTCGTCTGCCCCTCTGGCCCCTATCCTCCACTTCTACCAGCTAGACGACCCAACCGGGAACACATAGGAGGGGGGGGTGGGACCCCCTCCTGTGGTTCCTGCCTGAAATATTTTTATCGCGAGAAGGGTACAGCAATCCCTTCCCTCGCGACATATGAACTTATGAAGTCGATCAAGTCTGTTAACAACGAGCTTTGCAGCGCGGAGACCAGGATATAATTAGCGAAAATAACTCACTCTGTCGGGACTCGAACCCATGACCTGGCCCTTAGCAGGTTGCGAGGCTACCCACAAGACCATGTATGTCGGCGTACAACCTGACCCTAGAGAGGTTGTGGGGAGCTTGTGCACCAGATACAACCTGCTTCGGCCACCTGTGTAGATCAAGAACAGCCGCAGCAACTTCTGATCTACGGGTAGAATATACATGGCCTATGAGCAACAATTCCACGGGATAATATACCCGAATGCCAATAACCTGAAGAGAACAGGAAGGCATGATGAACAAATGAAGCTTCCCTCGTTTTATCACTGACCTGATGGGTGCATGTGCCAAGCCCTACATCGTTACCCATCGTGTGGCACCGCCAGACAATATCATGCACCTACGCCGAATTCGCCTGTTTGTTTCTTGTACTGCTGTACCCAAAAATATAAGATGAACGAAGATGGTGGAGAACGATGGATGTGGCAAACGACCTACGTTCTTCCACCATCACTGATGGCGAAATTATGCATGGTGGACCCTGGGGTGGACCGCATCACGGGTGGTTGGCTTTGAGCCTGCCAAAGATCTCCAAGAGTGCATCCGGGGTTCATGAGTCGGTTCGGTGCCAGAGGCGGAAGCCCGACACCTCGACAAGTCGCAACGAACTCAGACAGCACGGCCGGAGACATCAGAGACCCGCATTAATACCCACACATACGCGGCTGCGACTCTCACACACCTTGGTCTCAGCGCAGATGATGTCGCCCATGAAGGCAACGGAGCCGCGAATGATTGTCCTGTCCATCGCAAGATCGTCGCGGCTGTAGATGTAGGTGATGGTGTCCTCCGCCGTTGGCTCCCCCCTGTCTTGGGCACGGGTATCAGTGGCGGCTGAGGTGATGACCACGACCAGCGGCCGAAGAAGGTTCTTCGCCACCGTGACGAGGCCCGGAGGGTGGCAGCCTCGCCGAGGAGAGGAGATGACAGTGGTCGTCATGGTGCGGTGTTGTCGGTGTTCTGGTTGCTTCTATCAGTCTTCTTGCTTTCCGTGGAGAGAGCAAACGAGAGGAGTGAGAGAGGCAAGGCAGTGTGTACGGGCGGAGCAACAGCATCGGACGAACGCGCAACTGGAGGGATCCACAACTTGGAATCAATTTTCGTTCTTGCATAATATACTATGACCTTTGAGCAATTCGCTGTGGTTCCCAGACCCAATATCACCCGTCGTGCGCACCGTCCGACAGATAGTCTAGATGGGTGCAGGTGCGGAGATATAGAGACGGGAAGGGCAATAAGGTGTGTCTCTTCCACCAAAAACTGTGGTAACCTTCGAAGGATTCAACACGGACGGGTGAAGTAGGCCACTCCGCATTTACCCCCCAAAAGCCCCCAAGTTTCGTGTCGCCGGATAATCTTTCTTTAAGTGCAGTCACGCCTTGCGGACCTAGTCTAGTCTTTTGGGTTAGCGGCTGGTTTTTCCGTTCATATTTGTCTCGAATACATCAATCGAACCTCCGCTACCCGTTCGTCTTTGTCGGCCTTTTGAGCAGTCTGCTTCCCGAACTAATGCGAATTAGCTGTTCCACCTTCGAGAAGAGTCATAGCTCTTGCTGAGATGTCGACAGATTGCCTATTTTTTTCGCAAGGGTCCACGATTGATTTCTCAATACAAACGTGCAATTTTCACGCAAGACCCTTCCAAAACCAGCATTTTTTCAAGTGAATCTTGGCAAATCTTGGCCCAAGATTTGCTCGGAGTTGGCTACTGGGCCCAATCTTGGTCGAATTATGCAAATGTTGCTCTTGAAAGGTAAACTACGCGGGGTGCAGCAAGCCCGTGTTGGGCGTCTGTTGGGGCAGTGGGTAGTCGGCCGTGTTAGGCCGAGAGAGAGAGGTAGAGATTGAGATTGCGTTGGCGTTGGAGAAAGCGTTGGAGAAGGAAACTTGATTGGAGAGAGACGGCGGTAGCGGTGGAGAGAGCGAAAGCAGTGCGCTAGATGCGCGAGCCTTCAACACCGCAACCAAGGCCAAAAGGGTCCCCGTATCTGCATCGGTGGTACCCATCAACATACGAAATTCTCAACACGTATCCCCGAGGATCCTCACGTCTAGAGACTGCTGCGAGTATATCTTACATCCCCCCTGCTCGCAACAGTATCTTCACTGCAAACTACGAAACAATATCGGATATCTCAACCAAAAGACGTCTTTTCCTGAATATATGCGATCAAGATTACTTCCAAAATATATGACACGAAAACCAAGTCCAAGAAACATGAATACTGCTGCATCGCGCGTGAAAATAACTTAGCGCGGAAAGCAAAACAATCAAATCGAAAGCCAAACCAAACTCATCAGAAAAATAATAAAAACTCATGCCAAATTCATCACAAAATCACGGTGAGACTCGAACGCATCCTTGGGCAAACTTTTCGTAAGAAAGTCTGCACGCTGGTACGGAGACGGCACGTGAATCACCGAAATCTCCTTCCTCTCTACCAGTTCCCTGAGAAAATGGTGCCTTACATCAATGTGCTTCGAGTTCGAGTTTGAGATGGGGTTCTGCGCTAGTTGAATCGCCCCCTGGTTGTCCTCGAAGACGGGGATGCACGGCATGCCGACCTGCGGCAACATGAAACGCCAAATCTGCCTCAAAAACAAAATCTCCTTCACTACGTCGCCTAGCGCGACGTACTCTGCTTCTGTCGTCGAAAGCGTGACGCATTTTTGCGTTCTGGAAAACCAAGACACAGCGCCTCCTCCACACGTCACGATCCCCCCTGATACCGACCTACGGTCTGCTGCCTTGCTTGCAAAGTCCGCATCAGCGTATCCCTGCAAGCTGAATCCCTCTACCGTACCTCTCTGAAACGAAATACCAAAGTGACTCGTCCTCCTCGCATAGCCCAAAATATCCATCGCTGCATTCCAGTGTACCAGCTTCGGAGATGCGCAATACCTAGCTACTGCCCTTACTGCATTCGCAATGTCTGGTCTAGTCTGAGTCGCCAGCCACATCAACGATCCTACCAGCTCACGAAACGGAAACTCTGTCGCCACCTCATCCGCATCAAAATCAGAAAGCTTCACACCCGAAGACATCGGAACGCTCCTACCTCCCACTACTCCATATTCTGCTGCTAGCTCGTCCGTGAAAGTCTGCTGAGAAATCGTCAACCTACCGGTCTCCTTATTCCTCTCGTAAAAGCACCCAGAATACCATCTCAACTCTCCCAGGTTCTTCACTGGCACGGACTTGTTAAGGTCAGCGCCAAACTTATCACATCTCTCCCTCTCTCCAACAGCAAAGATGTCATCTACATGTACAACCAAAATCAAAACAACACATCCATCCTCAATCAAACGAAACACACAAGCATCGGCCATGCACTGCTCAAATCCTAACGCCACCAAACACCTCTTCAGCATTGCATGCCACTGCCTAGATGCCTGTCTTAAGCCATACAGACTCTTGCCTAGTTTTACAATCATTCCTGATAGAGCTCCACATCCCTGCGGCAAACGCATGTACACGTCTTCCTCCAACTCCGAACGCACAAAAGCTTGCTCAACATCGAAATGACACAAGTCGAGGTTCAACTCGCACGCCAAAGCAGCCAACATCCTAACACATGAAACAGAAACGGTAGGCGCGTACAACTCTCCAAAGTCAATGTACTCTCTCTGCATATCACCTCTCGCTACAAGTCTCGACTTAACCTTAGTGGGCCATCCAAACTCATCTGCCTTCCAATCGAATACCCACTTAGCGTTAATTGCGTTCTCCACTAGTTGCTACTTCGCCGGAGTAAAAGTCCCCGCTTCCAACAAGCCATAAAACTCCCTTTGCATAGAGTCGCTCCAAAGGTGCCGGTGCTCCGACGCCATGGCCTCTTTGTAGCTCTTGGGGACACGAAGGTCGCTGGCCTGGCAATGCGGAAGGTCAGGGCGTTGCTCCGGCGGGCGCTGGTCTCGCAGCGTGGCGTCGATGTCTTCCCGGTTGGCGAGGAGCGTGGCAAATGCGAGTGGAAAGCCCGCTCCTGCAGCCCCCGGGTCCACTGCTGCGAGTGCTCCCGCCTGCTCTCCGGCCCCCGTTCCCCCCGGCTCTCCGGCCTCCGCCCCCCCCAGCTCCCTGCGCTCCTTATCCACCGCGCTCCGAGCCTCCAGCATCGACACCAGAGTGTTCCTGTCTAGCATCGAGATGAGTCCTGTGCTGTGCCTCGTGCCCGATCTCGTACGGCTTGGCAGCCGCGGGTCTGTCATACCCTCGGCCTTTGTACCCGGGCGAAGCTGCCGCATGGCGTGAGCCGTAAGCGGGGGCATCGCGGGGTCCGGCGGCGGCGGCGGCTGGTATGGATCGGGGGTCGCCGACGGTGACGGCGGAGAGGCAGAGGACGGATTGCCAGGAGCGGGGGTCGCCGACGGTGACGGCGAAGTGGCAGAGGGCGGCTGTGAAGTCGTGGGAGCGGGCGGCGGCGTGGTCGCTGGCGGCGGCGTTGCGGCAGGGGTCGAAGAGGCAGCGGGAGCGGGAGCGGGCGACGGCGTGGGCGCTGGCGGTGGCGGTGTGGCGGTCGAAGGCGTCGGTGCTGGGCCAAAGTTGATCGAGACGACCGGCGGCGTGAACGGGGGGGGTGTCGGCGCAGCGGTGATACCCGCGGAACCCCCTCGCCGGCTGGCGCCGACGTCACCCACGACACGTTGTTGGTGTAGACGACGCGGCCGGTGGACGCCTTGAGGACCGTGACGGTGCCGCTCGGGTGGTTGTCGCCGCCGTTCAGGTAGTAACAGAGCGTGGCCTGGTCGTCGAGCTTGGTGCGGCGGTCCTCGCGCATGAAGCCGGGCTGGAAGAACGGCAGCACGCGGAACGGCCCCTGCTCGCCGGTGAACATCTCGTGCGGCGAGCGCCGCCCGGGGTTGGCCTTGGTCGCCGACTGGTTGAGAGCGTCGGCGGCCCACTTCGCCGATTCCATCCAAGGACGGTCACCACGCTCGTCGAGGCCGGGGATGGAGGCGAAGTCGACGTGGAACACACGGCCAGCGCTGCGGCGGGCGGCCATGCCGGCCTTCATGATCCGCCAGATGGCGCTCTCGACGACGCCGTTGTACTGCGGGACGCCGGGCGGGGTGAACTCGACGCCGATGCCGTTGTCGTCGCAGAAGCGCCGGAAATCGCCGCGGGTCCACTCTGTGCCGTTGTCGACGCGGAAACAGTCGATTCGTCCGAGGTCGTACCGCCCCACGTCCGCCAGCAGCCTTTTCGTTGCCGCCAGCGCGTCGGACTTCCGCCGGAGACCGTAGACCTTGTTCCACCGCGAGGCGCTGTCCACGGCGACGAACAGGTAGAGGTTTCCGCCCAGGGAAGGCACCAGCGGTCCACACAGGTCCAGGTGAACACGCCCGAGAGGCTTGGACGCCCTCGCTCCCGGCCCCCGCGGCACCGACGCTCGCCTGCCCTTCGCCTTCATGCAGTCCGTGCACGGTTCCAGCTTGCCGGTGAGCACGATGCCTCTCTGCTGGGCAGTTTCTCTCAAAAGAGGCTCGCAAGCGTGGGCAAGGGAGCGGTGGAAGCGGTTGATGTCAACGGACTTTTCGGTCGATCCAAGAGTGAACGGGGACGCACCAGGGCCAAGCGCGGCCGCACCCAAGTCAAAATCAGAACCTCCGTCAATGCTATCCAAAACACCAGCCACATTCGCAGCGTCACTCTCTGGGATAAATACGGGGAAAAAATCTTGATGTGGGGTGTCATCATAGCCATCCATGAGCTGCTCGTCGGTGAGCACACTCGTATCTCCAAGATCCATACCCGGGAAAGTACCCACACACTCAAAACCGGAAGCCGAAGAAGGTACTACGTCGGCATAGCCGGCGGGCGGGACGCTCTCACTCGCAGGTACTACACTGGTTGGACCAGTGGGCGGGACGCTCTCACTCGAAGGTACTACGGTAGCAGAGCCTGCGGAAGGAACACGCAATACGGACACCAATGATTCCGCGGAGCCCCCTTTTTGGGAAGAGGAACGCGTGGAGCCAACGGCGGGGGTGGTAACGGGGGATCTCACGAAGGCAGGCAAGGCAGCAGAGTCTACCACAATCGCAGACGGGTCGTAAGGCATGCGCATTGCATAGGCGGCAGAAGCTTTCTCCTCTCTAGCAAACAGCAGTCCGTTACGCAGGGTCACACCACGCTCGTCATGGATTATTCGTTGCCGAAGGGAAACAGCATGCGTCGAAAACAAGTTGAAACTCAGACTCTCGACCACAGACACGTCAGTCAGCTTCACATACATCGTCGTTGGCACACCGTTTTCACCTTCCTGGAAAAAGCTGAGGTTGATGCTACCGATTGCTTTCACCTTCAGCAGACGACCATCTCCTACAATGACATACTGCCTATTCGAGGGTATCTCCTGCAAGTCGTACATGTGCAAGTCACTGTTGGTGAAACTGTTGCTGGCTCCTGAGTCAGCTACCCATCTCTCGCTACCAGGCGGCCCCTCACTAGATTTCACACTCAGCAAAGACGAAGCACTAGAAGCAGACTCTACTCCTATCGTCACTCCTATCCTACTGAAAAAATCGTCAGGGTGAGACTTGCCTAGGGGCACCGATTGTGCCGTGCAGAGGTGGAGGTAACCCGAAGATGGAGGCGCTCCAGGAGAAGGAGTAGAGGACGAGGAGGAAGCGGTGCTGCTGCTGCTCGCGGGGGGGGGCTGACGTTGCTGCTCGGATGATGAATCTTCGCCGGCGGGAGGGGAGTAGACGTAGTGGATGCCGCCGTCAGATGAACGGCTGTCTTCGTACCCTGAGGGGTAGCTGTAGCTGTCTCCACCGCCGGCGTAGTGGGCGTACCCGGCGTCGTGGTAGCCGCCGTCGTAGTAGTAGCCGTCGTCGTAGTCGCCATAGTCTTCATAGTAGCCACCATCATCGTGGGCGTAGTACACAACGTACGCCTGCTCTCTTCCGTGGCCAGAACGCGCGTGCCCCGGGCCTCTCCCTGCCCGCTCTCTCTCGGCACGCCCGTCGCTGCTGTGGCGTCCCGAGGGCCCTCGACCCCCCGGGTGCCGCCCCAGACGACCACCAGGTCCACGTCCACGAAGAGGTCGCGGGGGGGGTGAGGCTTGGCTCCAGCCACCGCCACCATGACCGGTGTGGTGCTGCTGCCCTTCAACTCTCACCCAACGCCCGCCACCCCGGCCGGCTCCCGACGGCGGTCTTCCTCCTCGCTGGCTCCAGCCGCCGCCACGGCCTCCGCCGCCACCTCCGTGGCGATCCTCGGCGGCTGCTCTCGTGCGAGTCCGCCGCAGATGCTGCTGGTAACGGCATTGCCCGTTCGTGTGTAGTTCGGACTGGTGGTAGCGGCAAAAACCGGTGGGATCTTCGACGAACACGTCACGGTTTCTCTCGCCATCACGGATTTCACGGTCTTGACCGTCGACTACTCCTTGTCCCCCGGATGCCCCCCCATTGCCCCCGCCGCTCCGGCTCGCACCGGACGCGACGAGGGCGAGCTCCGCCTCTCGCCTCTGCTCCTTGCTCCTCTCGCGCTCCATCTCCATGTGGGCGTCCCTCACCACAGTCTCAAGGGCATGCAAAGTCACGACATCGCTTGCTAGCAATATTCCTTTTTGCACGGCATACGATGGGGGAAGGCCGCGCACAACGTCCTTGTAAGCATGTGTTGTGTCTTTGATAGTTCCTACTGAGGCAAGACGTAATCGAAGAGCTTCCGACCTTGCTATGTAATCCTGTGGGTTCTCCGACTCACGCATTTCTAGCGCCAACCACTCTTGCTCAAGCCTAGTCTTCTCAGACTCCTTCTTCTCTTGGTAGAAATTCGTGACGATCTTCCACCCCTGCTGGGGACTCTCACATGCCATGATCAAGTTCTGGATCGGAGGGTATAGAATCTTGCTGATGATAATATTCCACAACTTCAACGACTTGTCCACCACATCAGTCCCGAAGATGCCCCTTAGCTCTGCTAGATCCACACCCCTCTTGCCAACCTTGACATCAGTGATCCCTAATACATCATATACACCCTCTTCCTGAAAATACGACACCATCTTACTGCGAAAAACATCAAACATAATATACAAATCCTGCTCTTTCTTCACACTTCCAAGCCAAGGGTCTATGTCAGAGCCGGGGTTGACACGAAACGTGCCTGTGTGGGCAAAGCCCTGATGTCCAGACATGGCCTCGGCTGTCGCCTTGACCGCTTGCGCCACGATGTTGGCGACGTTGGTGGGATTGTTGAATGATTGGGATCCCTGGCTGGAGGGTGAAGGCTGGTTGCCGGTGGGCGGTATGTCGGCTGGTGTGGGACGTAGCGACTGCTCGCCGATGGTAGGTGACTGCTGTTCTGCTGGCAGTGGGGCGATTTCTGCTCTCTCCTTCGCAAGTTGGGCGTCCACCCTTCGTTGAACTTCTTGTTGCAGCTCTTCTTTGCTGAGGGTGGAGAGGTCGATTTCGGAATCCTCCGAGGTAGGCATGATGTTTTTGTTGTGGGAGTCTACCGATTGCGCGTGAATGCACAACCCCCCGGTGTACTACGACCGCGCGCAGAATCTGAATCTGATTCGCACTAGTGTGAAAGGTAAACTACGCGGGGTGCAGCAAGCCCGTGTTGGGCGTCTGTTGGGGCAGTGGGTAGTCGGCCGTGTTAGGCCGAGAGAGAGAGGTAGAGATTGAGATTGCGTTGGCGTTGGAGAAAGCGTTGGAGAAGGAAACTTGATTGGAGAGAGACGGCGGTAGCGGTGGAGAGAGCGAAAGCAGTGCGCTAGATGCGCGAGCCTTCAACACCGCAACCAAGGCCAAAAGGGTCCCCGTATCTGCATCGGTGGTACCCATCAACATACGAAATTCTCAACACGTATCCCCGAGGATCCTCATGTCTAGAGACTGCTGCGAGTATATCTTACAGCTCTGCTGGAAAAAATCAACCGTGGACCCTGGCGAAACAAATAGGTGATATGTAGACATCTCAACCAAAGCAGAGCTGTGACTTTCCTCGAGGGTCGAACAGATTATTTGTATTCGTTCGCGGCGCAGACTGCCCAAAAGGTCGAACAAGGCAAGAGTTGCCCAAAGGACGATTTGCTCCCCATATGACACATTGCAAACTCAGCGTTCCTGGTGTTCATACAAGAATCATCAGGAATTCCTGATGATCGAGTTTGAAATGTCACACGGGCTATTCGCCAGATCATCGGGAGATTTTTCCATTCCCGATGAAATCATCAAAACGGCCTTTGGCCGTTTTCATGATTATCATCGGGAAGGATCTTCACGACTGCGGCACCCGCACTCGCGTCCGCACTACTGACTGCCGGCGTGAACGAGCTTGCACGCACACAACCCACACTTCTTCCCAACACGGTGATGTTGGCTGAGATTCCGCCGCACTTTTTTAGGAGCGTGATTTTTTCGTGGTGCGGAGTGTACAGGACACCGCTGTGCGTGCTTGAACCGCCTGGGTGTTGCACGAACCTTCCTAGACCGATTGGCCGCGAAAACAGTGGACGATGAGATGTATATGCTGACCAATCCCCCAAATCGGCCTCAAATGAGATAGGCAAGAGAGAATGAGGCGTTCCTTGGTTCCGGGGTATGTTCCTGAATATCCCCCCGTCGACCGTTGTTGCCAGCAACGCCCATAGCACGCTGTTCAGCCTTCCCCACCACCTTCGACACTCCGATCACTGCTGTGCACCATCTCCTGTACGGCTGGGTGGCGGTTTGGGCGGTGTTCGTTTGTATTTGGGTGTGCATGGCTGCTGAACTGATATGAGCTGAATATCGTTGAAGTCTGACCTGCCTGGATCTGAGTGCACAGCGTTAGCTGCCAACCACCACGCGGGCACTACCAAGGAGGGTAAACGGGAGTATGGGCCTTTGTCTCTCCGGAGCTTGAAGATTTGCGACCGCGTAGTGTACATCTGCAGAGAAATCTGAAGTGCAAAATCGGCTGTTGGCACGTGTTTTCCCGCTCTTTCGGCAATTATGCCGCTTGCCATATGCGGACGAACCACTCACGGTAGGGTCAGTACTTGCGGTGGCCCGCCTGTGTGTTTCGCCTGCTATAGGCCAGGTTGCAGCGACAGACCTCGAGTTTCATGGAAGCACGTTGGTACTGGGCCTTTCTGGTCGACAATTGCACAGTGGAGTGCAGAAGTTGGCGAGGCATGGGTGCACAGCCGAGACTTGCGGAGGGACCCTCTTAAAGTTGGCGAGTGTTTGTGCACTCGTGTGGACTGTGTGTTCAACATGTTTTCCAAGTTTCGCTTGCAGTCGACGAAGAACGAGAAGGGCTCGTGGGATACGATGGTCAGGGGCCAGTCATCTCCTATGGGCCGCTACCCGTCGACACGAGCGCAGGTGAGACATTGTGCAGACGGGCTCGCTGTGGTGTAGGACTCCCGACTTTGGGTGCATATATTTCTGAGTTTCAATATACAATGTAACCTCAGCCCGCGCGCCGTTTTTGATAACTGCTGTAGCGAACGGACACGTAATAGCGTTATGATCAACCCGTGTTCGGAGCACCGACATAGAGTTTGACGCTGGCATGTGCATACGTGCTTCAGCCGTTGTTTTGACAGCGCTTAGGATAACTGTGACGACAGGACATACGCTGTATGGCTGGCCGGTGGGTGTAGTCGGCTTTGAAGGGTCAACGCTGGGTAGCACGCCTTCAGTTTCGCTAAGAGTTGACCCCGGCTCGGCCTCTTGTGTTGTGATTTCGATATAAAAAAGATGCGTACGCAAACTTAAACACGACTGGTATTCGTCGTCAGATAGTACCCCACTTCGGAATGTGTGTTTATCTCGTACAGGTCATGGGGAAAGGCACCTGCTGACCTGCTGGACGCTGCATTTGTTGTTAGCCTAGAGTACGCGGAGCCACTGTAGGTACTGCCTCAAACCGTTTTATGTACACCCATTGTATTTTTTTTTGCTGTGCATTTTCTCTGGTGCGCTCATTCGAGAACAAAAGCGCATCCTAGTTATTTTCCTACCTATCATACGTGCTACTTCAGCCCTCTATGCGTAAGTGTAACTTTTTTATTGCACTCTTGGGATTTTCTCTGTTAGGCGTTACTTCGGGCATGTTTTTTTCAAAGGCGAAGTCTATGGCGACACAAGTACGCGGACGGCATGCAGTATCTGGACTGGAGACATCACTCGTCCTCCCTCTGCTGTTTTATTTCGCGCAGGTGCAAGCTCTTCTCTCGCATGTTAGCTTAGCGGGTAGGGTGCTGGATGCGTGTGGAGCGGCTAGCGATACCCTGTGCAGGGTCCTTGAAGATGCTGGTCTCCATGTATCTACCATCGACCTCAATTGCCAGTGAGTAGCGTTCAGTAGCTGCACTTCATTGGGAATGGCATTTGGAGTTGGGTTAGCGTGGACGATTGACGTGCCGCCTCCATCACAACAACTCCTCCCTCGACCATAGGAGGTGGCGCACCTTTAGAACTGCAGAACGGCAAGGTTTCCACCGTGGGGTAGCAAAGCCAATAACGCCATCAACAACAGGGCCCCGCTGTTGTAACGAAACGCCTCGTCCTGCTGCACCGTCCCAACTGTTCTGCTGCCTCGTCCTTGTTGTTGTAGCCTTCCATGTAGCACATGTGACAGATGTCGCTGTCCACGGTCAACTCATCACCACTGAGGAGAAATCTCTGCGTACTGGCCTTCCCAGACTTGAACCACCGAGCGAAAGCGGGGAGAAAAAGGCCAGGGCGACGCCAGGACTGCGTGCTCTTGTCGGCTTTGCAGATCGCACACGGGCCCCGCGACGGGGCGGACTTGTTTTCCTTCTCAGCCGTCCACTGTGGGTAAAAGCACCCAGGCCTCCTACATAGACACTCCATGCTCGGAACATAGCCGTCCCTGACACAGTTATCGGACCGCTTGGCGGCAGACTGCCACCATATCCCCGCTATTTCGACCTCTGCATTCGGCAGATGCCTCCACGCGTGGTCGTTGTGAAGGCCTTCCGTTGGATGTGCGTGACAAGCGGCGCATACCCTGACACCGCCGACCAACTTGCCGTGATCTCTGTGCCCGTATGGACACC